TGATTCTAGAGATGAGGTCTCGCCAAGTTGCCCAGGCGGGTCTCGAACCCGCGGGCTCAGGCAATTCACTCACCTCAGCCTCCCAAAGCACGGGATTACAGGCTGAGCCACCGAGCCTGGCCTAATTTTTTTTTTTAATTGTAGAGATGAGGTTTCACCAAGTTGCCCAGCCTGGTCTCAAACCCGTGGCCTAAAGCGATCCACTCACTTCAGCCTCTCGAAGTGCTGGGATTACAGGCTGAACCACTCAAGTCCGGTCTCACTCACTTCTTAAGGACAAAGATAAGGAGGCCTGGAAGGGGTTATGTGGCCAAGTCACAAGGAGCAATCATCAAGCCCTCTCGCAGCTGCCACTCTGGCCTCCCACACGTGGCCTGTCAAGTTCATGATGTCGCTGCAGGGTACTGGCAGCCACCATGCAGACAGCCCAGCCTCCACCTTGTGCCTCTGGGCTTGTGTCCTACTAGCTTTGCTTCCCTTCACAGAGACGGCTGGAGACAACAGTTCTCTAGTGAAGCAGCCCTTTAAACCATAGTCAGAATGAGAGCACCACCCTCTGAAACAGAAGAATTTGGTAACTTTTTTTTTTTAAGTCATAGTCTCACTCCTGCCTAGGCTGGAGTGCAGTGGCACAATCATGGCTCACTGCAGCCTTGACCTCCTGGACTCAGGCGATCCCTCTGCCTCAGTCTCCCAAGTAGCTGGGACTATAGGCGCCACCACACCCACTTAATTTTTTGTAGAGATGAGGTCTTGCTATGTTCCTAGGCTGGTCTCAAGCAATCCTCCTGTCTTAGCCTACCAAAGTGCTAGGATTACAGGCATGAGCCACCATATCCGCCTCTGTTCCTCTATTATAATATACATAATACATTACTAGTGAGATGCATGATCAAAATTCATTTTCACATGAAAGTGGGATCAGAGGGCAACCCCCCTCAGGTCCCCTCCCACTGTGGAAGCTTTTCTGTCCTTTCAATAAAACCTGCTTTCAAAAAAAAAAAAGTATGATCACAACTCAGTCTGAAGGATCAACTCCCTCTTAAAGAGAGGCCCCTACGTGGAAGGCTGAGACGGAAGGATCGCCTGAACCCAGCAGGTGGAAGCTGTGGTGGCCATGAGCATGCCACTACACTCCAGCCTGGGCGACAGTGAGATGCCAACTCAAAAAAAAAAAGGAAAGAGAGAGGCCCCAACACACCAGAGAAGCTTCTCTCAGCTCGGCAGCAGAAAGGGAAACGGGGTGCAAGGAAATCAGTCTCCCCCCACTGCAGAGCAGGGAGTGACCAGCTTCGCTCAGTTCTCCAACCAGCAGTGAAGCCTGGTTGGTTGGGGGGCAGGCAGGAGATCACATGGGTCCCTCCCCTAGCTCCCTGTGGTCTAGCACAACTGGGCAGTGGGAATTCTGTGGGGAGAGAAGGAGCGTCCAGGCAGGGCTGGCCAGCCAGCTCCATAGAATGAGTCAGAATGAGAGTACCACCCTCTGAAACAGAAGAATTTGGCCTGGACATGTCCAACACCTTTCACTCCTGCCTAGAAGATGGAGGAAAAATTCTGTGCTGAATCTGTGGTGTGTGACCAGGAAAGAGAATGCTCTTGGTTTTTTTTGTTTTGTTTTTTTTTTTGAGTTGGAGTCTTGCTCTGTCGCCCAGACTGGAGTGCAGTGGCCGCTCCCGGCCACCGCAGCCTTGACCTACTAGGCTCCGGCGATCCTTCCGCCTCAGCCTTCCAAGTAGCTGGAACCACAGGCGCGTGCTACCACACCTGGCTAATTTTTGATTTATTGTAGAGATGAGGTCTCGCCAAGTTGCCCAGGCGGGTCTCGAACCCACGGGCTCAGGCAATCCACTCACCTCAGCCTCCCAAAGGCGTGGGATTACAGGCTGAGCCACCGAGCCCGGTTTGAGAATGTTCTTGTTTTTAGGAAATACACACTGAGGTATTTAGGGGAGAAGGACCATTATGTCACAACTGACTTTCAAATAGTTTCAAAAAGATAACAAGCACGTATATATAAGTATAGAGAGAGTGAAGAAAATAAGGTGAAATGTTAACATTTGGGGAATCTGGGAAAGGCATGCAAATCCTTTGTACTATTTTGTAACTATTTGTCTGAAATCATTTTAAAAAAAAATTTTTTTTTTTTGAGTTGGAGTCTCATTCTGTCACCCAGGCTGGAGTGGCACGCTCATGGCCACCCCAGCGTCAACCTGCTGGGCTCCAGCGATCCTTCTGCCTCAGCCTTCTGAGTAGTCAGAAATAAAGATGCATGCTACCATGCCTGGCTATTTTTAAAAAATTTTTATTGTAGAGACGAAGTCTCGCCAAATTGCCCGGGCTGGTCTTAAACCCACGGGCTCAGGCAGTCCACTCTCCTTGGCCTCCCAAAGTGCTGGGATTACAGACTGAGCCACTGAGCCTGGTCTATTTCAAAATTTAAAACTTGATCCTTTTCTAAAACAAACCCAATATAATTTGTTTTCCCTCAAGTATATGCACATAGATAAAAAAATTTAAAGTCTCTGATTTTCCAATATGGTTTCCTTTTCAAAAATTATAAGAGTAACTGTCTCTTACAATCCCCAGTACTGCCTCATTTAAAGTCAGCCTCTAGCCAGGCGTGGCGGCTCACACCTATAATCCCAGTACTTTGGGAGGCTGATGTGAAAGGATAGTCTGAGCCCACAGGTTCAAGACCAGCCTGGACAACTTGGCAAGACCTCATTTCTCCAATAAATCAAAAGTTAGCCAGGCATGGTGGCGCCTGTAGTTCCAGCTATTTGGAAGGCTGACACAAAGAGGTCACCTGAGCCCAGCAGATCGAGCATGCCACTGCACTCCAGCCTGGGTAACAGAGTGAGACTCAAACTCAAAAACAAAATAAAATAAAATAAAATAAAGTCAGAAGCCAGGCTCGGTGGCTCAGCCTGTAATCCCGCGCCTTTGGGAAGCTGAGGTGAGTGGAATGCCCGAGCCCGCGGGTTCGAGACCCGCCTGGGCAACTTGGCTCATCTCTACAATAAATAAAAAATTAGCCAGGCGTGGTAGCGCACGCCTGTAGTTCCAGCTACTTGGAAGGCTGAGGCGGAAGGATCACCGGAGCCCAGCAGGTCGAGGCTGCGGTGGCCGGGAGCGGCCACTGCACTCCAGTCTGGACGACAGAGTGAGACTCCAACTCAAAATAAAATAAAGTCAGCCTCTAAACATCAAAGCAGAGGCTTTCATGGTTCCAGGCTCCTAGCCATCTGTTCTTGACCACATGGTGTGTCTTAAGGAAGTCTCATTCATGTGAGTGGAATTACTGTCAAAGAATAATTATTTGCAGAAGCCCAAATGGCTGATAAAGATATGAAAAGATATTCAACCTCACCAGAAATCAGGGAAAGGCAAAAATCAATAGGAGACAACTCGACTAGGCATGGTGGCTCATGTCTATAATTCCAGCACTTCAGGAGGTCACTTGGGCCCAGGAGTTCAACACCAGCCTAGGCAACAAAGCAACACCTCATTTCTACCAAAAAAAAAAAAATTAGTTGGGCGTGGTGGCACATACCCATAGTCCCAGCTACTTTGAGGTTGAGGCAGAAGGACGGCCTGAGCCCAGGAGGTCAAGGCTGCTGCTCTAGCCTGGGTGACAGAGACCCTGACTCAAAAATAAATGAGGAGACAACTCATCTGATATCTGGTACCAAGTGTTAGGGAAAGTATGGGGGTGGAGGGGAGGAGGGCAAGGGCTGAGTACGTGTATTTCAGAGGAAAGCACGTTCATGCCACCTGGTGACGATGCACCCACTATACACACCGGAGTCTACTTTGAAGAACACACCTGAACTCCCCAAGAAATTCCCACACGTGCTCAAGAGGATGTGTACATGATGACAACGGTGGCACCATTAGGAAGAGCAGAGTGGAACCACGTAAACGTCACTCCTAAAGGAAGGATGAAGGTGATGGGTTCACCCCTCCAAACAGACTGAGCCATCAGTAGGGGAACTTCCAGCACAGGCCGCCACTCTGTTGAAGGGCATAGTCTGATCCGTACATTATGTAAAACTCTGACAGATTCAAAGCAAGTCTACATACTGCCTAAGGATACAGAGTGTACAAGAAAGAATCAGGGACAGGAAAGACACACACCAACATCCGGAGAGTGGTTCCCTCTAGAGAAGAGGGAGGTGGCTGGGACCAGAAGAGCACAACGAGGACTTCAATCTTGTCCTTTACAAAGAAGCAGGGAGAAGAGCTGGGGCAACCAAGGCAAGACATTAGCCTGTCAAACTCAGACACTGGACTCACATGGGTTTGCTGTGTTACCCTCCAGACTTGTCTGTATGTTCAAGGTACTTCATAATTAGCTGGGTGTGGTGGTGTGCATCTATAGACCCAGCCACTTGAGAGGCTAAGGCGGGATGATCACCTGAGCCCAGGAGGCCAAGGCTGCAGTGAGTTGTGATCGTGCCACTACACTCCAGCCTGGGCGACAAAGTGAGGCCTCGACTCAAAAAATAAGATAAAGTAACAATGAAGTACTTTATAACTTAAGATGTGAGCCTCTCATGGCTGTGGGAGTGTCACAGGTACAACTTGTTCCTCAGATGGCTGTTCGGCAACACCCACATTCAGGCTGCACTCACGTAACCCAAACCTCTGTCATTTGCACAGACTGCACAGATGTGGTCACATGTGTTTACAGACAAATGTGCAAGACAGCCTGGCTACACCGTGCACAACAGCAAATGTTGGCAATGATCTGATTCCATCTGGGGACCACCGTTAAAGGAACTCTGACTCATCCCTGCAGGGAGCACCGTGCCACCATAACAAAACAGAGACAGGAACATTTTATACTCTGATAAAGAACCATCTCCAGGAATCAGTTTAAAAAGCAAGCAAGGCAGAGCAGTTGCATGTGTGGTTAAGACCACACACATGTATGAGGGCATCTCTGCAGACATGACCTGTGCAGAGACACTCATGGGGAAGGTGATGAGGGACAGGGGCCTGGGTGGGAGGCAGGCCCAGACTGCAACCTCCTGTCTCACCTGCAGGGGACCATGTGCATGTTCTGTCCCCAGATTCTTTTTTAAAAGAGATACCATGTGAAAAGGTCATTATTCAAAAAGTTCCCACCGTTAAGTGAAAAAAAAACAAGCTTTCAAATAGACAATTAGGCTGAAAATATAAGGAGACAATTAATAAAAGAAATGGCCAATAAATAAAATTTTTATGTTTTTGAACCGGAATCTCACTCTGTTGCCCAGGCTGGAGTGCAGCAGCACGATCACGGCTCACAGCATCCTCAAACTCATGAGCTCAGGCGATCCTTTTGCTTCAGCCTCCCAAGTAGTGGGAATACAGATGCATGCCACCACATCTCGCTCATTTTTTTATTTTTTGTAGAGACAGGTTCTCACAATGTTGCCCAGGCTTGAACTCCTGGACTCAAGCAATCCTCCTGCCTTGGCCTCCCAAAGCGCTGAGATTACAGGCGTGAGCACCAAACCCAACACAAATTATGTTTTAAAATGTCCAACCATACTAATAAGAACAAACCAAAATGAGATGCCTCCATTCTCCCACCACATTGGCCAAAGCTTAAGAGATTCACATACAGGGCTGGTAGAGACATGAGAAAACGGGACCTTCGTATAGTACTGGTGGGAAGGACAACACAGACAAAATTGTTAGTGGGAATGTGTTAGGACTGCCTGAATTTTCCCCTATTGAAATTTTTTTTTTGAAGTTTCACTATTGCCCAGGTTGGAGTACAGTGGCACGCTCATGGCTACCGCAGCCTCGACCTGCTGGGCTCAGGCAATCTTTCCACCTCAATCTTCTAAGTAGCTGAAATACAAGTGCACACCACCATGCCCAGCTAATTTTTTGGTTTATTGAAGAGATGAGGTCTCACCAAGTTGCCCAGGCTGGTCTCGAACCCTGAGCTCAGGAAATCCTCTCGCCTCCACCTCCCAAAGTGCTGGGATTACAGGTGTGAGCCACTGTACCCAGTGGAATGCTTTTAACAGCTTTATTGAGCTATAATTCACACACCATTAATAGTGTACAATTCAGTGACTTCTAGTACATTCAGAGTTGTCCAACCATTATCACCATCAATTTCAGGACATTAGTACACCCTAAAAAGAAACCCCGTCCCCTCTATCCATCGCTGCTCCCTAGTCTTCTCATTCTCCAGTCCCTGTCAACTACTCATTTACCTTCTGTCTAGGAACTGCCTGTCCTGGACATTTCACGTGAACGGAGTCATACACGACGTGGCCTTTGTGTCTGGCTTCCTTCACTGAGCACCACGTTTTTAAGGCCCATCCATGTTGCGGCAGATATCAGTGTTTCATTCCTTTTTGTGGATGAATGATAGTCTGCTACAGAGATATACATTTTGTATTCATCAGCAGATAGACTCCTGGGTTGTTTCCACTCTTTTGCTGTTATGAATAACACTGTGGTGAACATTTGTCTAGATTTTTCTGTGTGGACCTATGTTTCCAATTCTCTTGGGTATATACCTAAGAATGGAACTGCTGGGTCCTATGGTAACTCTAGATTTAACTGTTTGGAGAAGCGCCAGACTGTTTTCCAAAGAGGCTACACCATTTGACATCCATCAGCCAAATACAAGGGTTCCAGTTTTCCTATATGCTCACCTAACACTTGTCATTGTCTGTCTTTTTCACTATAGATATCCCACTAATTTTGATTCACATCTCCCTGATGACTAGTGATGTCAGGCATGTTTTCATGATTATTGGCCATTTACATCTCTTATTTATTTATTTTTAATTTTTCTTAGAAACAAGGTCTTGCTCTGTCGCCCAGGCCGAAGTGCAGTGGTGTGATCACAAACTCACCACTGCTTCTAACTCCTGGGCTCAAGCTATCTTCCTCCCTCAGCCTCCTGAGTAGGCGGAACTATGGGCATGCATTACTGCCACTATGCCCAGCTAGCTTTTTATTTTTTGTAGAGACAGGGTCTTGATATGTAGTTCAGGCTAATCTCAAACTCTTGGGCTCAAGCACTCCTTCTGCCTTAGCCTCTCAAAGTGCTGGAATTATAGGCATGGGCCACCACACTTGGTCCATTTGTATATTTTATTTGGAGAAATCCATATTCAGATCCTTTGCCCATTTTTTATTTGTCTTTGAGTATATCAGGACCTTTTAAGTTTAAAATGTGCGCACCAGCAATCCCTCTTGTGGTGTTTACAACCAATTACAGATTTCTTTGTTCCTTCTCCACTCCTACTGCTTCATTTGACTAGCTTTAAAAAATAAAACATAAGCCAGGCTCAGTGGTTCATGCTTGTAATACCAGCACTTTGGGAGGCGGAGGCAAGAGGATTGCCTGAGATCAGGGGTTCGAGACCAGCCTGAGCAACTTGGTGAGACCGTGTTTATACAATCAATAAAAAAAATTAGCCAGATGTGATAGCACACACCTGTAGCTCCAACTACTTGGAAGGTTGAGGTGGAAGGGTCACCTGAGCCCAGCACATCGAGTCTGAGGTAGGTGTGAGCATGCCATTGCACTCCAGCCTAGGCAACAGAGAGAGACTGCCTCAAAAAGTAAATTTTAAAAAACAGTAAAATAAAAAAGAAATACAATACACAGAAATATCTGCAAGAGCATTAAAGCATTATGTCAAAAGATACTGCAATAACTGCAGTTTATAAATGTAAAATGTTGGAGACAAAATTTCTACTAATAAAAACTTGATTAAATCAATTACAGTGAAATACTGTGCAAGGATAACATATCTATGCTATTTTAAGTCTTTTTTAAAATTGTAGAACAGATAAACATGGAATCCTATTTTTGTTCAAAACAGAAAGCAATATGTGTGCTGCTGCCTACAAGACAGCCCTCTATATAGCAGAAGACATGTCCTGGGTGGCTCTTCATCAAACCCAGTGGTTATCGTGGGAAGGCCAAAAAGGGTTGAGCTCAGCCTTCTTGGTCTGTGTAACTGTTCTAAGTGATGGGATTAGGAATGCTGTTGACTTTCTAAAATATTTTTCCATATTTTTCAAATCATAGTATTTTCAAAATTTTAACAGGAAGAGATGTCTGTTTGTACTCACCACTGTACCCCTAGTGCCAAAGTGTCACCCAGCACTTGGCATTAATAGATATTCAATGAAATTAGACTAAGTAGCCGGGCTTGGTGGTTCAGCCTGTAATCCCAGTGCTTTGGGAGGCGAGGTGAGTAGATTGCCTGAGCCCGCGGGTTCAAGACCCGCCTGGGCAACTTGGTGAGACCTCACCTCTACAATAAATAAAAAAAATTAGCCGGGTGTGGTAGCACACGCCTGTAGTTCCAGCTACTTGGAAGGCTGAGGCAGAAGGATTGCCAGAGCCCAGCAAGTTGAGGCTGCAGTGGCCGGGAGCGGCCACTGCACTCTAGTCTGAGTGACAGAGTGAAACTCCAACTCAAAAAAAAAAAAAAAGAAATTAGACTAAGTGAATGAAGAGCACTTATTTCTGTGTAAAAGAAAATCCTATTATAGTTCATACCTCAGTAACATGATTCCTCACTTGCTGTGACTCAATTACACACTAATAAACAGGGTTACTTACATGATTCAGGAAATACTGCACGATGACCTCGTGGCCAGCCGCAGCTGCTTCCATCAAAGGAGTGAACCCGTACGTCGGCTCCCTGCGAGATGGGGACCACAAATGGTTAGCAGGGAGTTCTCCCCAGCTGAACACAAAGCCACGCCAGTGCACGTATCATCTGTTCCTAGTGCAGAGGTGTCTGTCTCTCTCGCCTTCTCTCTCTCAAGAATTCACAAGCGAGCCGAGAAAAGCTAACAGATCAGCTTCAGCTACTCTTCTGCTATCTGTCCTCAGGGCTCGTCTTTGTCCTCAAGACAGATCTACCTTCTTGCCTCCTCTCCTTCGAGGCTGTTCCCACCTGCTACCTCCTAATCTCCACCTTGATGGTGCTCTGACGCTTCAGTCCTCTCAGAAAGCTGCCGTCTCCTGCTTATCCACCCAAACCCTCACTTTGGAGTCCAACATTCTCCATGAACTCTCCCGAAAAGCCCAAGCTCTAAGAATTCCACTTGTCCTCACTATGCTCAGTACCCAAAGCTTATTTTTGTGCGTGGTGACTGCTAACTCAGCACTGTCTTCAGAGGGCATCCTAATGCTTATTTCATGCTGGTCTAGAAGACAGGACACATGTGAAATGCTGGGTTTTATCCGTTCTAAGATACATGTTTCACATTTTCACATCTCTGAAGTCAGAATGTGTCTTTAAATCAATAGGCAAGCTGAATTTTAATTAGTAGCAGTTTTTCTTTTTTGGTAGCATAGAGAATGAGGGTGTGTGTTATGATGGATGATATCAGCCACTGCTATGCACAACACTGGTGGGTGCTGCGCTGGGACTTGATGTGTTGAAAGGAGATTATAATCCTGACAAGTTTTAGAAAACAATCCAAGTTGGGCGTGGTGGCTCAGCCTGTAATTCCAGCACTTTGGGAGGCTGAGGCGAGAGGACTGCCTGAGACTAGGGGTTCGAGACCAGCCTGGGCAACTTGCTGAGACCTCGTCTCTACAATAAATCACAAGACGCTAGCCAGGTGTGGTGGCATGCATCTGCAGTTCCAGCTACTTGGAAGGCTGAGGCGGAAGGATCTCCAAATTCAGCAGTCAAGGCTGTGGTGGCCATGAGTGTGCCCTGCACTCCAGCCTGGGAGACAAGAGTGAGACTCCAACTCAAAAAAAAAAAAAAATCCCACTTTCAGCTTATAAACCTCATGATTGGGCCAGGTGTGGTGGCTCAAACCTGTAATCCCAGCACTTTGGGAGGCCAAGGCGAGAGGATTGCCTAAGTCCAGGGGTTCAAGACCAGCCTGAGCAACTTGGTGAGACCTTGTCTCTACAATAAATCAAAAATTAGCTTGGTGTGGTGGTGCGTGCCTGTAGTTCCAGCTACTTGGAAGGCTGAGGCAGAAGGATTGCCTGAGCCCAGCAGGTCAAGGTTGCAGTGGCTATGAGCGTGCCACTGCATTTCAGCCTGGGTGACAGAGTGAGACTCCAACTCAAAAACATAAAAGAAAGAAAAAACTCATGATTGTTTTCAAAGCATCACCTCACCTGATATACATACAAAGCAAGAAAGAAGAAGGAATTAGCATGCAACATATGTCATTTAAGAGCCATGCACTCTGTCAGGCCTCTGGCACATGACAAAACACGCTTACAGGAATGCATCTGTCCTGCCCCTTGGCCTTGATCCTCTCATACTGAGGCGGGGGTGCCCTTGAACTCTGGTAAGTTGACCCTAGAGCTGTCCTCCTTAATTAGCCGAGACCCAGCCCACCCCACGGCCACTGATGACCTGGCAATCACCTCACATTGGCATTGGCGCCACTGTCCAGGAGAAATTTGACCATCTGCTGATGACCAGCGCTGGTGCAGTGGAAGAGGGCGGTCCAGCCCTGGATGTCCTTCATCTCTAGCTCCGCACCTTGCTTCAAGAAAACACAAAACGTGCGTCACAGCCTGCCTCCTCCATGGAGCAGGCGCCCTTCAGGTCATTGTGCTGCAAGAATCAGAAGAGATTACACAGCACACACACACACCGTGGCCAGCAGTGGTTCACGTCTCTGTCAGCGCAGCTGGGGGACCCCTCAGGTTTCTGGGCCTGAGTGCCCTCGTAGCTCACCTGGAGGAGAAAGTAGGCGATGCTCTCGTTGCCACAGCTGGAGGCCAGCATCAATGGAGTCTGCCCTTCTGGGGTCGGCACATTCACACTCACCCCTGCCTCGAGCAGCAGGTGCACGATGGTATCGTGTCCAATGTAGGAGGCATACATCAGCGGGGTCCAGCCACCACCGTTCTTCTTATTCAAATCTAACTCTCTCCTAAACAAACGCAAGATATGCTAGACACACCCAGCTGGCTCGCATGTGGGTTTGCCAAAGCCGATGGGAGGCCAGGCCCAGCAGGATGAGCTGACAGCAAGCAAAGTCCTCAGTCTTTGCCTCCCTCTGATTTCATCTTCTCATCTGTCCTTCTCCTAGTCCAAGGACAGCCATTCCCTTCTTTCACAGCACCAGATGGACAGATGGATTCAGTCAGGGGACATGAGGCAATGTCTGGAGATGGTTTTGGTTATCACAACTGGGGAGGGAAGCGCTACGGGCATTTAACAGGTGGAGCTCAGGGCTGTTGCGGAACATCCTCAGTGCCCAAGATGACCCCACAGAAAAGACTGATCTGGCCTGGACCGTCCACAGAGCCAAGGTGAGAAGCCTTGACCATGAGCCTTGACTGCCTTATACCCAAGGACCAGAGTCTGCTGGTCCAGTGCTGGGGGGACAGAGGTAATGAGGAAAGAGAAAAGGACTCGGTGATGGACAAGTCCTACTGCAACTGATTACTCCTTTGTCACCTCACCCTACAGAAACACTCTTGAAAAATCTGTGACCAAAGAATCCTATCTTTCTCACAGATTTCCATTTAAATTCTAGAAACGCATTTTCCCACAGGAGGAAAAAAAAAGTGGGCTTCCAGCCCAAACTCTGGGGCTGGGAATCACATTTTAAAATAAGCCCCACTTCTGGGCACCCTGCACAGTCAGTGCCCACAGACCAGCTCTTGCCTCCAATGACGATAACATCTGACACACAAGTCACATGATTTGCGCCTCTCAGAGGACACACATTAGACTACCCATGCAGTATCTTCCCGTTCACTAGCATCTCCTAGAGACAGTGGGAGGATGCCCAGGCAGCCACTCCAAGGGGCCTGATCCCAGGTGTGCAGTGGCAGCCACTGGCCAGGGCAGCATTACAGAGAAGCCGTAATATAGGAGTAAGGGGATGATCCCTTTCCATATATGACACTAAATGTCAAACTGCACTATGAACAAGCTGCAACTGTGGGTCTTGCCAGGAGCTTATTGCTACTGGGATTGACTATTTGTATGCAGAGTAGTAAAAGGTGGGTGGACAAAGAGGCCATCCCTCAGTGGCACCAAGAGCAAGCCTCAGTGGCAGAAACTAGGGGGAGTGAGGGAGCGAATAAACCCTAAGAAGAAGGCCAGAGGCATTGCTTCCTATCTTTATTTTTGTTTTGTTTGTTTGTTTGTTTTGGCATTTCTGCAATCCGTGAAAACCATGAAATTATTAACCAGCTACCAGTTAATGTTTGAAAGCTTATGACCAAAGTATAATCCATCTTTTTCTTCCTGTGAATAAGAACTGCTTTTTTTGTCAGTGCCCACTGTAAACCATTGCTGACACCTGGTCTGAGATCAGCAGGGCTAATCTACCCACACGTACTAAGTGTCCACAGCTGTGCGCAAAACCCCGTCACATGGGATCTGAGGCCACTGAGACACGAAACTCAAGAAGTGCGTGCCCAGGGTCTCTTACCGCAGCACGCACTCCTTCACCACTTCATACTGGCCAATGGAAGCAGCCGTGTGAAGATCCAAGGGGACGTCCAGCTCCTCTCGGCTGACCTGTGCCCCCAGCCCATGCCACATGGACAAGCTGCGGGTCAGGAGTTCTGGTTCACTGGCCTCGTCGCTGAGCTCGGACATCACTGCGGAAGGGAGCCCCGGGGCGTGCTCTCTTCTTCCTGGTTGTTCTGGGGAATGGAACAGGCTGGTCATACTCCTACCTGGGCAGGCTGCAATGTCACTACCTATCCAACTGACACCCTGGAGCCAACTTAGACAACCTTCCCCATGACATGGTGCATGGCATGGGCAGCTCAGACGAAGGCTGCTGCGCTTGCGCCCAGTCACAAAGAGTACATGAGTCGCTAACTGAGTGCACATTTTCCTTCCTCCAGCCACAGACCCGACGCTAGAAGGGAATTCTCCAGCAGCTCCAGCACCCTGACGACCTCTTGGATGGGCAGTAAAGAAATGCTAAGAGGGTCACTGAGCAGTTCCTAGGTGGCGCAAAAGAACCCTGAATTTGGGGTTAGATCAAAATTCAGCTCTGCTCCTTAGCTACTCCAATCCCTAACTCCTTACTGTCTAATGGGGGCATGGTATCTTAAAAGGCTGCTTACAACACACGGAAGAATGGACAAACAAATGCTTGCACATCCATCATCAGAACTGTACTCAGCAATAATAAGAAGGAACCAAGCTTACACACCACACATGAATGAATTTCAAACGCTTTATGCTTCATGAAAAAAGCCACTCAAAAGGCTGTCTACTGGCCAGGTGTGGTGGCTCATGTCTAAAATCCCAGCACTTTGGGAGGCTAAGATGGGAGGATCACATGAGGCCAAGAGTTGGAGTTGGAGACCAGTCTGGGCAACATGGCAAGACCAGTCTCCACAAAAAAGAAAAAGGCTGCCTGCTGTCTAATTTCATTTATATGCTATATTGAAATTATCTATATTGACACTGGAAAAGGCAGAACTAAAGGGTTGGAGGCCAGGTCAGTGGTACCAAGGGGCAGGGGAACCCCAAAGGGGCAGCAGAGGGAAATCTGGGAGTGATGGATCTGTTCTGTGTCTTGCCTGTGGTGGTGGATCTGTGATTCTATGCATTTATCAAAACCACAGGCCTGAACACCAAAATAAATTTTTACTGTATGTAAAATTTAAATATAAATTAATTTTTTGAAAAAAAAAAGGTGGAAAGAAAAGCTCAACCCAGAAACCAGGATGTGACTGGTGGTGCCTAGCAAATGTCACTGAACAGTAATCTAGCTACCCATCCCTTCAAAGTGGAAGCGATTGGGACAAATACGATAGGCTGGAAAACTGGTAGAATGGCACTTCCCCTCAGGTGGGACAACACCAGGAATCCTGCCCAAGTCAAAGCCAAATCCCTAGGTTCCTAGCAAAATCCTTAGGTACAGGAGTGATAAGACGCAAGTGTCGACAAGGAAGCAAGGGAAAAAGTTAAGGTGGCCTTGCCTTGTTCAGATGACCTAAAGGTGGCACAGTCCTTCCCAGATGCCATTAAGACCTCAGTTTCTGCCAAAGGATGCTCCCAAGCCCCAGGTGACAGCCAAGATGGCGAAGCAAACAAGCCACCAATGTGGAGGACAAAGACTTTGCGAGCCCCTGGTGAGAGTGTGTGTAGGTGCCAGGCAGTAAGTACCAGTTTGTCACAAAGTCCTGCTTCCTGGAACCACCACCCCTTCAGCTGGCAGAGCCCGACACCATGCAGCCTCTGTACTCCGCAGCTGAGAACCTCCACCCTGAACAGCCTGGCCAACAAGCCTGGATAAGAACCCAAATCAGCTGCGTGTCACTTCAGGGTCCTTCCAACATGACCTCCTCCAGGGTGGGCCTGTGTTTTCTCTCCATTTGTTGGACACTCGTATGTCTGACACTCCCAAAGCTCTGGGGGAACTAGACTCAACCTCGAGGATCCTCAGGAAGGAGAACTCAGATGCCAGGGGACTATAAAGCTGCTGTGATGTCCTTCATCATTTGCCACATGACAAATACTCCCCAATAATGGGAATACACTATCAACAAGATGACGACTCTATCTGGCATATATGTGTATACAAGCAAAAAGTTTCTTTTGCATCTTGCGTCCAGAACTCATCTTTAGGAAGTAGCACCAGGGATGGAAGCTTTTCATTTCACTGTACCTTCTAGTTCTGTCCATCTTGTAAAATGCTAAGTATCTGTTACCTTTGTTTGAGTTGTGAGGGTCTCACTGGGGGTCTCTGACGCTGGAGTGCAGTGGCATGGTCTCGGCTCACTGCAGCCTCAAACTCATGAGCTCAGGAGATCTTTCCGCCTCTGCCTCCCAAGTAGCTGGGACTACAGGCGAGTGCCCCCACGCCTGGCTAATTTTTTGGTTTTTTTGTGGAGACAGGGTCTCACTATGTTGCCCAAGCTGCTACAGAACCCCTGGCCAGGCTCAAGCAATCCTCCTGCCTCAGCCTCCCAAAGTGCTGGGTTTACAGGCATGAGCCACCACGCCCAGCAATATCCGTTAGTTTTAAGATAAATTTTAACTTAAAAAAAAGAACAAGCTTGATGCTGGTGGCAACTGTCACGCTCACAGAGGAGGTTTGTCGAAGCCTCTGGGGCATCCTTCCCGCTCCACGTGAGGAGTTAGGGCTCCCAGCGAACTGCAGCGGGGACGGTGTACAGCAAAGCTCGCTCATCGAGCCCGTGACGAGTCCCCCGCCAACAACCCGAGCACCTACAGCCACGATTCCTCGACGCCCCGGGCAGGCATCCTCCCATAAGCCTACCGGACACAGGGCACTGTCGTCCTAGTCGGCAGCTACAGAAGCGGGGCTCAGTCACCGAGTCACGCAGCGAGCAACTGCAGGGCTGACGGGCCCGGGCGGGCGGCAGGTGCCGGCACCTGGCCGCGCCAGGCCTCCGCGGAGCCTACCTGTGCTGGGCCTCAGGCCTCGGGCTGTCCGCGGGCCGCCAGCGCCAGCCCCGCGGGCAGGGAGCCTCCAAGATCCCTTGCCGCGTCGCCGCCCCCTGCAACAGCGCCCGCCGCCGCCCCCGCGCCCGGCACTCGCCCCGGAAGTGGTTGCGGGAGGGCGCTGGGCACGCCGGAACAGCTCGCGGGTCCACACCAGGGCAGCTCCCCGGCGGCGTCTAATTCGCGCGTCTCGCACCCGGACCTTCCGGTCAGCGCGCCCAGCTCGCTGTGTGACGCCCTTGGCAGCCAATGAGTAGAGGACGTTTTCCATTCCCCGCCCCCCACTGATCAGGAGACCCAATCCTGTTGCAAGAGAATCAGGACGCGCCCAGTCCATAAAGGGGAGCCGGAGGAAAAGAGGTTAGCAGTTCAGTAATGTAAAGTTCCGCTGGGAAGAGGGGTTCCGAAGGAGGTGGCGGCTCCAGTAATTGCGCTGGGCCCCGAGGGGACGAACGCGACTTGATTGACGCGGTAAAAGCTGTTTATAGCCCTGTCAGGACCGCGCAGGGAGTAGAGGCTGAGGCCTGCGGTGCGTGACCTCGGGCCTGGTCCGGCTGCAGAGATAATTGTCAGGAGCTGGACGGGACAAGGAAACCCAGGAGGTGGGGACTGGTTAAGAGAGGTTCAGCAGGCTTTCTGGTTTCCCAGCTTTAAAGCTCGACCCGAGAGGCCGTTGGCGTCTAGTTGCCATAACAACAGGCCACCCGGAGGCGGCCGGGTCCCGGGGCAGTCGGGTCCGTGGGCGGGGCTCTGGGGGCGGGGCCAACGGGCTGCCCCCAGGAAACGGACGCGCTCGTGGAGTCGGGACGTCTGGATTCAGAGGAGGCTCCGAGCTCCACCCTCACTTGCAGGATGAGCCGAGCTTTTCAGCTTAGCGGTCTGTATCCTTCACTGTCTGGTTCGTTCACACGTATTGGGCATTTTTCACTTCTCTGAGCCGCTGTACCTGCTCGTCCCTCTGTCGGTAGCGCCCTTTCCTCCCCTGTTGCCTGAAGAACTAAGTTTCAGGTGGCCCCTTCACCTCGGTTCTGTTGCCCTGAAAAATACTGTGCCCTGAATTGCGGAACAGAGCCTCAGTTACAAAAAGCACTCCCTGGTGTACACAACCCCATGTGTCCCCGCCCTGCTGCACCCAGTTCAGGCTGCACCAGGCACCTGCCCTCCCTCCCAGAAGCACAGATGCAGCAAGCAGCGCCCAACTCGCATCTCCTGCCGCTGCCCCGGTTGGAGGTCGAGAGACACTGACTGCAGAGCCAAAGCCAGCAGCCTCTGAGGCTGCAGGGTCTCTCCAGACACCGGCATCCCCTACAGCCCTCCAGCCCCCATTCCCCCTGAGGAACAGGACCTGATCCTTTACACTCAGATACAAAAGCCAGGCGGGTCCCGTGAGGGTAGCAGGGCTTAAAATTCCTTGTATCAGAGTCTGCCTTTGCCATTTGCTAACCTCTGTGAGCCTATAAAATGGAGATAATAGTTGTGTTACATGGGATATGTACATGATATGCATACATCTATATATCATAGACATATATCATTCTATGTAACATACATATATCTGCATATCATGGACATATATCAATATACACCTGTATATATGTATATATCATTATAAGCCTGATGTATATATGCCTGCAGGCTCCACACTGTGCTACTCATACAGTGCCTGGCACTCAGTAGCAGGAGCTTGCAGAGCCAGAAGGAAACTAGGGTGGGAGGTCGAGGTCTGCCAGTCTGTTCCATCTCCCACGGCTGGTACGGGCTTTGAAAGGGCCACCCCCACCCTTCTGACCCTCGGCTGCCTGGACTCTCACCTCACCCCGTGTGCCCCAAAGGACTCCTTAGATGATGGTGTCCTGAGAAGACATCTGTGAGCCTGGGCTTCCATGGCATCCAAAGACGAAGATGTGATGCCCTCGCCGGGCTCTCCCTGGGCCTCACCATTGGGACCTTGGGATGCCATCCTCAAGGCTGTCAAAGACCAGCTCCCATCTCTGGACTCAGACTCCTCCTTGGTGAGCAAGGGCTTTCTTCCTGGGCACCAACTGTCCTTCCTGCCCATGATAGGCATGATACTGAACAGGGATAACTTTGGAGCACACCTCTCTGCAGATATCGCTTGCCGCTTGCTGACCTGTGGAGTTTGCCATTTATTTTAAACCATCTGGCCAGACTTTGAGCTGTGTCCTCTGGGTTCCTAGTTCCTTCTTTGCCCTTTTTTCTGTATTGATCACACTCTGAACGCATGTATTGGTGCTCAGTGGCCTCGAGGCCATTTCAGGGGGTGCTGACCCTAACTTGGAACCCGGGTTGCTAAAGCCCCACCCTTTCCATTCTGCTTTTGAGCTGTTCTCAACTCTCTTGGCCAGGGCAGGGCCAGAGCCCCTGCCAAGAGTGGGGACCATTCCAGTGTGTCATGATAAGCCTTTGAGAAATCCTCCATGGTTTGGGGTCACTGAATTTGCCCTCTAGGATGCTCCAGTCAACAGCCATATGTCTGACTGGACAGTGACCCTGGGACAACTCACAGGGCAGGGGCTTCTCGGTACACAGGCTGGCTCTGGGCATTGAGAGAAAGGGCAAGGGTTTTAGAAGGAATGGGCCAGAGCTGGGTCCTATCTGGGCACCAGCAGCAGCAGAGCTTTGGGGACTGCAGGGACCATCCTACACACTGCAAGGCTACATAAGGTGACCCCAAGGCCCCATGCACAGAGCGTTTGCACATGTTCAGTCTTATTTGTGAGATGGGTAGGTGATTAGGAGCCCTGCCCCTTTAGAGAGGACAAAGGCTTAGTGTTAAGTGAAGACTCAAGATCATAGGGAAGGAGGAGTCCTGGCTTCTGCTCATTCAGCTGCCACCTCGTTGTCCATGCTGCCCCAGGCACCTACTGAGCACCTGCCACAGGTGTCTCATCTCCACGAGGTGGTGCTGCCGAGCCTGTTTCTAGATCGGTGGTAAGAGGCAGCGCAGGCCAAGGCCTTTAGGGAGAGAATCCACTCTCCCGAACCCTCTGGGCAGGCAGAGCTGGAGCGAGGGTGGAGGGCGAGGGTGAGAGCGGCAAGCCCTGCCGGCTCCTCCAAATCCCTCTCGCTCATCCACAGACGGACAGTGGGGAGGAGGAGCTGTTCATCTTCCAGCGAAGGCAAGCTGTTCTCATCCCAGACCTGTCGGAGGAGCTCGCTGAAGATGCTGCCCATGGCGACCAGTTGGGGACCAGGGTCCCTGTGCCCGAAAGGCCCCTCGCTGAGGTCTGTGTGCATGTCTGTTTCCATGGCTCTCGGTGTACTCTAAACAGCAGCGTGGGTCTAAATGGTTAAAGCCACTGGTCTCACATTTCTGGGTCCAACCCAGGGTGCTCAGGTGCTCAAGCCTAACATCCAGCCCCACACCCCGTCCTCTCCCAGGAGCCAGGCTCTTAGGACCAGCATGGGGACTTGACTTTCTGTCTGATTTTGCCCCCTTCTCTTCCCCTTGACCCCTCTTGTCCTGTCTTCTGTCATGAAGTGACAGGAGCTCCTGAAACACTGTTGAGTTGCTAAAGGCTATGGTGTGGAGTCAGGGGCAGAAGGCGTGCTGTAAGTGCCTAAGTGCATGTGTGGGCTGGCACGTTGGTGGGAGATGAAGAGAAAACACGGGACACAGAAAACGACCCAGCCCCCTCCCAAAGCATGTCTGTAGTGGTGATAGCCACCAAATGTCAGAGCGAATTTTCCGTCTCTTGTCTCCCCATTTCCCAGGACTGCAGGTAATACCTAGAACTCTGTCTAAAGTCAGTGGCTTGGGGCTTAAAATCTGTTGCTGCCTTTAGAAATAGAACCTGCACATCTATCACTGGGCAGGCCCGACCCGTTAGACCTGTTCTGCTCTTCTAGATGTGGTTGTGGTTAAATGTCTTGTTTCCAATCAAATCACCGTGAGGCACCATCCAGGATGGGAGAGAGTCCTCAGTTGCCCAGGAGATAGCCTAGCACTTCCCCAGCTCTGGCCTATAGTGCAACACAGGCCAGGAGCAAGGGGTGCACAGGTGCTGAACCCCATCGTCTTACAGAGTCAGGATACCCTTCACCATGATGGAAATCACCCACTAGCCCAGCTGTGCCTGGAAGTGGGTCTGAAATAACCCACAGAACAGCAATTCCTAGAGTGGCTAAGACCCCAGGCAGTTCATGGAGCAGTTTCCATGTGGCTTTATTTTGTGTTTTCTTATTTCTTTTTTTTTTTTTTGAGTCGGAGTCTCACTCTGTCGCCCAGGTTGGAGTGCAGTGGCCGCTCCTGGCTACTGCAGCCTCGACCTTCTGGGCTCCGGTGATCCTTCCGCCTCAGCCTTCCAAGTAGCTGGAACTACAGGCACGCGCTACCACGCCCAGCTAATTTTTTTATTTATTGTAGAAATGAGGTCA